AACATTACCCAACACTGGTCACCCATCACAACATTACTCCCAACACTGGTCACCATCACAACATTACCCCAACACTGGTCACCATCACAACATTACCCCAACGCTGGTCACCGTCAAAACACTGGTCACCATCATAACATTACCTCAACGGTCACCATCACATTACCCCAACACTGGTCACCATCACGACATTCCCCAACACTGGTCACCATCACAACATTACTTTAACACTGGTTACCATCACAACATTACTACAACACTGGTCACCATCACAACATTACCCCAACACTGGTCACCATCACAACATTACCCCAACACTGGTCACCATCACAACATTAGCCCAACACTGGTCACCATCACAACATTACCCCAACGCTGGTCACCGTCAAAACACTGGTCACCATCATAACATTACCTCAACACTGGTCACCATCACATTACCCCAACACTGGTAACCATCACAACATTATCCCAACACTGGTCACCATCACAACATTACCCCAACGCTGGTCACCGTCAAACACTGGTCACCATCATAACATTACCAACACTGGTCACCATCACATTACCCCAACACTGGTCACCATCACAACATTACCCCAACACTGGTCACCATCACAACATTCCAACACTGGTCACCATCACAACATTACCCCAACACTGGTCACCGTCACAACACTGGTCACCATCACAACATTACCCAACACTGGTCACCATCACAACATTACCCCAACACTGGTCACCATCACAACATTACCCCAACATTGGTCACCATCACAACATTATCCAACACTGGTCACCATCACAACATTATCACAACACTGGTCACCATCACAACGCTACCCCAACACTGGTCACCATCACAACATTACCCTAACACTGGTCACCATCACAACATTACAACACTGGTCACCATCACAACATTACCCCAACACTGGTCACCATCACAGTACCCGATCACTGGTCACCATCACAACATTACCCCAACACTGGTCACCATCACAACATTATCACAACACTGGTCATCATCACAACATTATCCCCAACATCACACCATCACAACATTACCTGCAACACTGGTCACCATCACAACATTATCACAACACTGGTCACCATCACAACATTATCCCCAACACTGGCCACCATCACAACATTACCTGCAACACTGGTCACCATCACAACATTATCACAACACTGGTCAGCATCACAACATTATCCCCAACACTGGCCACCATCACAACATTACCTGCAACACTGGTCACCATCACAACATTATCACAACACTGGTCACCATCACAACATTATCACAACACTGGTCACCATCACAACATTACCCTAACACTGGCCACCATCACAACACCCCAACACTGGTCACCATCACAACATTATCCGCAACACTGGTCACCATCACATCATTATCCCAACACTGGTCACCATCACAACATTACCTCAACACTGGTCACCATCACAACATTACCACAACACTGGTCACCATCACAACATTACCCAACACTGGTCACCATCACAACACTACCCCAACACTGGTCACCATCACAACACTACCCCAACACTGGTCACCATCACAACATTACCCCAACACTGGTCACCATAACAACATTACCCCAACACTGGTCACCATAACAACATTACCCCAACACTGGTCACCATCACAACATTATCACAACACTGGCCACCATAACAACATTACCCCAACACTGGTCACCATCAAAACATTATCACAACACTGGCCACCATAACAACATTACCCCAACACTGGTCACCATCACAATGTAATATATATTTTAAATGTTATGTTATTTTATTTTATTTTTTCCTGTTTGATTCACATTCTGGTGGTAAATTAATATTGAATATAGAAACAACCTCACACCTAACCAAACCTAATCTAACATAACATAACACAACCTAACCTAACCTCAAACCTGAACCTCTTGAGATTTAGATTTTACCAAGAATCAATTAAAGTGACACATTCAGATATATTGAAAATACACTTAAACTCGGAGCCAAATTCATTTTTTCAGATTGTATTTCTTTATCATTGTACTAACCTAATCTAACCTATCCTAACCATGCTTAGCTTAACCCAAACTTAATATAACCTAACTCAACTTAACCTAACTCAACTTAACCTAACCTAACTCAACTTAACCTAACTCAACTTAACCTAACCTAACTCAACTTAACCTAACTCAACTTAACCTAACTCAACTTAACCTAACCTAACTCAACCTAACCTTATCTAATGTAACCTCAGTAAGAGAAACAATGCCTTCCTGACTGCCATATGTTCATAGGAGAGGGATCTTTTTTTGATTAGGCAAATTTCTAACAATAACATCTAGGTACACACACACACACACACACACACACACACACACACACACACACACACACACACACACACACACACACACACCTTATTATTATAGGTTAGGTCAGTAATATCAGTCATACATTATCCCATCACATAAATATATATATATTTTTAGTACGTATGAATCAATTAGATCTCCATTTTAATTTTAAAAACTTAAATTTAACGAGATAAATTTAAATATCTGTTCAAAACCCACCATACCAAAAAAGAGAAAAATCATTAAAAGTAAATATTAACTCCAGATCACAGTACTACTGTAGATTGAGTATAGTGTGAGCTAGACAGTATACTGAGAACATTACCAAGAGGCGAGTATACAGTTCTCGCTCCCACTGACCACATGGACGCCCCCCCATACCAAGACAGCATCCCTGCTCACCTTCTTCAACGGTAATTCACAAAAAAATTATATTTCCACCTTTACCGATATCCAGCAGATAGTTACAAATATACTCTATACAACGTTATAAATTAAACTAAATTCATCCATACGTAGCTAGATTTACCTCTACAAGCAACTCTATACCTGTCATTGTCACAAGGATAATGTCTCCTAACTGACAGAGAACACTAAATAAGTAACTCATATCTCTTGAAGACTTAATAGCTCGATGGTCAAGATGTTATAACTTGCGCGTCCATATATATATATATATATATATATATATATATATATATATATATATATATATATATATATATATATATATATATATATATTAAAGTTGTCAACGACTGAGGAGCCCAAGATTATTATGACCTGTTTCGTTTATGTATCAGTAACTGTAAGGAGATTGGGTTCAATAAGAGAGGGTCAGCTCTACTCCTCTATATAACATAGAAAACTAGTGTCTCAAATATTATTACTTTCGACAAGGGTAAATGTGGTGAAGTAAACGAATAATTATAAAAAACAACTGTAACTATAATTAACTTATAACTATTTACACTTAAGTCTAAGGTAGCAGTAAATTCAGAAAGAACGGTTGCACAAATAGTATGGCAGTAACCTAGTTCAGAGTAGAAGTTATATACAAACAGCATAAATATGAAATACCAAGGCGTCACCACACGATCAATCACAAGAGCACAGGGAAGAGTGTTCACCGCTAATCACGTAGCAACCTTGAGAGATGAGACAATACCAGGACCAGAGCAATGGCTGAGGTTACCTTACCTGGTATACGAAAGAGGTAAACACGGCAAGATACTTAGCAGTAAATAAGGTCCTGTAGCGCGGAGAGTAAACCAAGTAATGTGTCAACACTGTAGGTGGTGAGGTGAATCTCCCGGCATGAGTGCGGAACGTACAAGTATTTTTAAATGGGGCAGCACAGAAATCTCATTGGCTACAAGCTTCCTAGATTCTAAGTGAACTATAAGCACAGGGAACATGATGATTGGTCGACTGAAGTTAACTAGAAGGAAACGAGATGTTCCGACTCATTCTCATGAACTGTGAATCGTTTGGATGCGTGAAGTCAGACCAGCTAGGTCAGCTACTGTTGTCAATACCAATAATAAACCGTACAGTAGTTTATTAGGCAAACAAAAACATCAACATAGCAAAAAATTGCAATACATTGTTCAACATACATTACACAAAACATATATAACACTGAAATAACGTGGAAATAAGTAGTAACATCAGCTAGAGCAGCAAACTCAAGAGACAACCAGACGGAGGCGCTAGAGCATCAAGTTACTTGCTACAGCTCCTCAAGATAGTGACCTCGAAGGAGTCTTCGATTTGTGATGTGTTAGCGTGTATGTAAACAATAATAAAGAAAACAGCCTGAGGTGGTAACACACACACACACACACTTATACTATATATATATATATATATATATATATATATATATATATATATATATATATATATATATTAACCAGTTTAAGCGAAAGGGTTGTCTCTACTAATACACACACAGACACACACACACGTACACACACATATATGTGTGTGTGTGTGTGTTAGTAGAGACTAAACCCTTTTATTTAAACTGGTTAATTCACTGTTTAAGAACAAGCATCCCTCAGACTACAAAAATGTTCAATAATCACTGAGCAAACTTTGCTCTGAAACGAATTAACGAATTCCACAAAAGTTCACTGATGCTTCTTACATGAATTGATCCACTATGTTAATGCGGAGGATAAACTGATCTTGAGTAAAAAGTGTTACATGAAGCTGCCTGACGCCCTCAACATCCACCCCACCAAGGCTGGACACCTTGTGGGGCTCGGCTCAAGAAAAAACCAGACTCTGAAGGCGGTGGACACAACATCCCGCTTATAGTCATCATTTATTAAAGAAGTAAAAATACGAATCGTCACAATTTATGGTTATGTACCAGAGAGAGAGATTCCCGTGTAGCTACGATAACGGAATAAATATAACCAGTTCACTCTCTGATGTAGACGAATATAAAATAAATATAGATATCTTACACTTGGTCGATGCTACCCTGGAGAAATACCGTTACTAAGCAAAACTAGACTAACCCCGATGGCAGGTTTGTCAGCCCGGGCAAAATCACAAATACACACACGCACACACAAACACACACTCAAGCACACACACACATACACACACACTTGATAACCTTGGTAGATACTCGAGTATAAAGGGAGGCAAAATACTCACACTCGACGCAGTACGGTTCCCTACTCACACACATCAACATCATGAGGACTCTGGTAAATATCCTTTTCGTTGTCTTGTAAAGTGAAGAACAGTAAATGTGGGGAGTGCAACTTCGTATTTGACATGATGTTGTTTGGTGTTATACTTAGGCAAACCCCTAGCAAGAATGTCTAGCCAAATAATCTTTCTACTTAAGCCTCACTAGTTTAGTATAGAGTCCGTCGGTGTTCGAATTAAATATAACATCAAGAATGTCAGTCATTCGTATCCAAATTAGCAATAAAGTTCTTCTCAATGAGGCTCTGCGCTGCTGGGTGTTAGTAAGTGTCAGTTATAGGAAGCAGTGATGGTGAACGATATACCTGGTCGCTGAGACACGGAAAACAACACAACAGAAGTAGAAACACTGATAGAAAATTAAACATTATCATTTCATGTTTTTTATGATCATATTAAATAAACTACAAGGAATGGTGTTCATTGTGTACAAAGTATTTCATCTGGAAAACAATATTGTTCCATAGAGATGTATCTATTTTAGATTCAGCATTTTCAATATGGCTGTTGAGGTGAAGACACTACTACTGCGAGGTTCATTATCCAAGCCTACATTTATTGTGACAAGTGTATAACAAAAGTTTGAGTGTTCACTGACAGTTCGTAAGCATGAGCGCAAAAATCCTGAGATAATCTACAAATCAATGTATTAAAATAAACCTATGAATATTCATCTTTCTTGTCAGTAACTGTATTTTTATATTAACATCAGTTTTCATACTAATATAATTTGTTATCTCACAAAATAAGAATTAATTCTATATTTACTTTCACCGTGTACAGTGGACCGACCGTGGACGTGATCTGGTCTTTAAGAAAGGGATGTTTAGATTTGTATTAGTTGTTAATTTCAGTTGTACCTCAAGTAATTTGCATGAAAACCTAAATTTAAGACATTAAATGTTGAATGTACTGTATCTCAAAAACGTATCTGCCAAGATGGGTCCAATGAGTTCCGAAATGCTACATGCAACTTGCCATGTCCCAAGAGGGTTGGTATGTGTAACTCTGTGGCATACTGATCCTAAAACATTTGGCATCCTAACATCATATTAATTGCACCGAAATAAATACACATTGCATTATTTAAGTTAAACTATACTGTATACCACAGTGGCCTCATAATGTTTCATACAAAGTGAGGACAAATTCTTGTTTTTAGGTACTGTACACTCGCTAACAACCAGAGATTCAAAGACCAGTGAGGTCTCTGAATCTTTCGGCTCATGTAGAAGCATGTGAGGCGACAGAACTTTTGTTTGGCAAGCGTACATTCCTCTATTAGCTCACCTGCATCAATAATACATATATGATAATTATCTTTCAGATGGCGTTGTTGAGGTAGACGGTGACTTAGGCATTGATAAGTTTCATGTACAAATGCACCTGTAAAAAGCTGTATTGTTCTCTAAAATCACTTTATCACAACTAAGATACGCATTTCCTTTATTCAGGTTGTTTTGGCAGTGGTGGGCGTGTGCTCCGCTTTCCCATTCATCCCAGACAATCCAGATGTGGCGGCAGAAAAGGCTCGTTTCTTCCAGGCTTTCAAGGCTGCTGAAGCCGCCGCTTTGCCAAGGTTCCCCTCACCTCACCAATCTCACGACACCGGCCACTACACTCCTACTCGCTACGGCACCAGCCACTACAACCCTCCCCAGTATACCCATACCCCGGCTCAGCCCAAGTGGACGGGTCCGGTAGCTGCCACAGTCCCCGCCGGCGTTGACGGTACCCTCACCCCCGTGTCTGACACCAGGGACGTTGCTGCCGCTCGCAATACCTTCTTCAACACCTACAGGTCACAGGTGGCTGCCACTTTAGGTGCTGCTCCCCGTCCTCACGGAGGCGCTGTCCAATACCAGGCTGCTCCCTCCTACAGGCCCGCCCCCTCCTACCAGCCCAAGTGGACCGGCCCCTTGGCTTCAAATGTCCCCGCTGGCCTCCCCGGATCCACCAACCAGGTAGCCGACACCCCTGAAGTGGCCGCCGCCAAGCACTCTTTCTACAACACTTACCAGAGGCAGGCAGCAGCAGCAGCAGCACCATCCCGTTACTACTGAGCCGTACTGTCGTAATTAAGCCAATAACATGAACAATATATAAAAGCATATGTACATCTGGAACAAAATTTTTGAAATTAAATTATGGCAAACCTACCAATCTATTCCGTGCACTTATTGACCCTCAAAAGGCGATTAATTACAGTAGCCTCACATATCCTTTTGAACACAAATCTATCCAGTCTTTCACTCCCACACAACAACTTGTCCTACACTTACAACCAGGTGACAATGAACCAATGTTGCAGGTCTTAATGAACTATCTAGGATAAACAGTCTACTCCCATTCTTAATGATAAAGGTCCAACATGATCATAGTGTTCACTTGCTTGGCCTGGCTACTGCTTGACACTGACCTTAGATCATCTAAGGAGTTTAAGAAGAGAAGCCACAAAGGTAAGGTTAAAGATGTATTTTCCCTTAATTGTGTTTTGGATCGATGAGGACGGTCTGACTCCTCCTTGGCTGCTACAGCAAAGGAAGTTAATAGTGAACCTCGAACATTAATCAGATGCTATGCAGAATAATATTAAACAAAAGGCTACAGCAAGGGGACTTAACGTCACACGAAATAATTTTTTTTAGGTTTTAGTTCTTTGCATTACAGGATTTCCTGAACACAACATAAATCCCAACCCAACCTAACCTAACCTAACCTACTTTAGGTATAATTTTTATATCTTATGATAGTAAACGACGCCTTACATGAAACAGAACAAATTCTATCATACGAATATACAAATTAATTTCCATTGAGTTATAGCAATAAAAACAAAACAGTTATTCCTATTCGCCAAAAACGTACGTTGCTTTTTAAGGCATAGTCGGCAATTATCCCTATTTAGTGTAACACACACACACACACACACACACACACACACACACACACATGTAAGCAGTTTAGTCTTGTTTAGTCTGTGGCCAGTATAGCAGCCAGAGTATTATACACGAAGGATGAATAAGTTTTCATTGTGCATTTTACATTGACCCGCAGGGGTCAGAGATGTCTTCATAGCAAGCATGTAGTAAGCATTTATTTAGCCTGCTCAAACGCAGCTGCTTTAGTCAAGTACACGGTCTGGCGACAGTGTGTCCACCAGAGATGTCTCAATATGACGATATCACCTTTAAAGCTCGTTACTTATTCAATTAATGAGTCTTACTTGATAACTAGGTACATTGATTATCAGTGGTAGACTTCCAAGTAATTGTTGTAAATTTATGGTCAGATTAGTTAGATATTTGCAACGTCAATCAAGGATGATTCACGGCTCTAACAAGATTATTTCCCAGACAGACATTTCAGTAATGCTGCTGACACTGATTCAGGTGTTCATGCCAAGGAATTGACTCATACCGACCCTTCTTGCTGGTAGAAGGTTCTAGAAGCTTGAACCCATGCATCTTCCTTCGTTACGTCATTGTCAGTTAGCCTCGGGGTGGGTTCGCCCTGGAAGAGCTAGGCAGTCTTTAGCTGGACACCACACATTACTGATCTACCACTGAGCGGTTGACTGAGAGACCATTTCAGTCCTCTCAGATCTAACTCTGAGTCTACATCAGAACTAGTATCTCTAACGCTACTTTCAGTTCACAGACCTCAGTCACAGATCAAGTGGCCAGTCTCCCTGTAGATACAAGTGCAAATATACTGTATATATATACATATAACGACTTGTATCCGTCCACCCATCTCAGAGAAGTGAACTAAAATAGACGTTTTATTTTATTTTTGTTTTTATTTTAACAATTTCTGCAACTTCCCTAAATAAGTGTGAGTCTTCAGAAGAAGTTGCAGTGAAGTTATAGGGGAAGTTACACACACACACACACACACACAACAGTCGTACCCAAGTTAACCTTCACACAGTGAGGTCCCAGGTACCCAGTGATAACGGCCCGTGAGACCCAACAACAACCAGCGATTATGTTAATCCGTCTACGATAGGAAGGCCTAAGACCAAACCTCACTCATATAACACCATCTGTGAGGGAATTACTACACCACGTCAAGTCCCTCATAACACCCTCTGTGAGGGAATTACTACACCACGTCAAGTCCCTCATAACACCATCTGTGAGGGAATTACTACACCACGTGAGGTCCCTCATAATACCATCTGTGAGGGAATTACTACACCACGTCAGGCCCCTCATAACACCATCTGTGTGGGAATTACACCACGTGATGCCCTCATAACACCATCTGTGAGGGAGTTACTACACCACGTGAGGCCCCTCATAACACCATCTGTGAGGTAATTACTACACCACGTGAGGTCCCTCATAACACCATCTGTGAGGGAATTACTACACCACGTGAGGCCCCTCATAACACCATCTGCGAGGGAATTACCACACCACGCCAGGTCCCTCATAACACCATCTGAGGGAACTACTACACCACGTGAGTTCCTCCTAACACCATCTGGGAGGGAGTTACTACACTACGAGTTTGCTGTTCAACACCTACATTAAACTGTATGTTCACTGTATGTTCCTTTACCTTTCTCTAATGAAGGTTTTTGTTAAACCACCAATGTATGTAATAAGTCATTTATGTCCAATGTATATTTTCAGCCTTCGGGCTGCAGAATTTTTTCAATAAACCGTTAATTATTCTTATTTATATATAAATAGATAGATAGATGTATGGATGGATGGATGGATGAATGGTGGATAGAAAGATAGATAGATAGATAGATAAATAGGTAGATAGATAGATAGGGACGGACGGACGGACTGACGGACGGACGGACGGACAGATAGATAGATAGATAGATAGATTGATTCCGGAGGCTCCCAGTAAGCGACCCTTATGTGTGTTTACGTCAGACCAAATATCAAATACATTCGTTCTCATCAATTGTAAGTTACATCACGTCAAGATATTCTAAGCCACAAGGTATTTTCTTCCGGGTAGAATAATCTGACTATGACTCGTGTGAAAAGTAGGATTAAATTCCACCGTTCCCGTTTAGGTGAGGTTCAGGTGTTGTGATGGTGGTGGTCGTAATGATATCACTGACAGTCAGTACGAGGTGTTGTGCTGTAACTGAGAGGATCGGTGAATGACGTGATATACTCTGCTATAATTAGTGATTTTAATGGACTTCATATTTCAAATTCACATGCCAGAGAGAGAGTATCTTATTAATTACGCTGTTTGTGGAAAGTGCGTGTGTGACAGCCCTCAGGATCTTCAGCCTCCCTTAGCACTCTTGGTAAAACAATTCTAGAGTACAACGACCGTCGATTAGTCACCCTAAAATCATCATTATTTTGTCAGCCCGGATAAAATCACAAATACACACACATGCACACACAAGCACACACACACACACGCACATACAAGCACACACACACACACACACACACACATACACACACACTTGATAACCTTGGTAGATACTCCAGTATAAAGGGAGGCAAAATACTCACACTCGACGCAGTACGGTTCCTTACTCACACACATCAACATCATGAGGACTCTGGTAAATATCCTTTTCGTTGTCTTGTAAAGTGAAGAACAGTAAATGTGGGGAGTGCAACTTCGTATTTGACATGATGTTGTTTAGTGTTATACTTAAGCAAACCCCTAGCAAGAATGTCTAGCCAAATAATCTTTCTACTTAAGCCTCACTAGTTTCGTATAGAGTCCGTCGGTGTTCGAATCAAATATTACATCAAGAATGTCAGTCATTCGTAACCAAATTAGCAATAAAGTTCTTCTCAATGAGGCTCTGCGCTGCTGGGTGTTAGTAAGTGTCAGTTATAGGAAGCAGTGATGGTGAACGATATACCTGGTCGCTGAGACACGGAAAACAACACAACAGAAGTAGAAACACTGATAGAAAATTCAACATTATCATTTCATGTTTTTTATGATCATATTAAATAAACTACAAGGAATGGTGTTCATTGTGTACAAAGTATTTCATCTGGAAAACAATATTGTTCCATAGAGATGTATCTATTTTAGATTCAGCATTTTCAATATGGCTGTTGAGGTGAAGACACTACTACTGCGAGGTTCATTATCCAAGCCTACATTTATTGTGACAAGTGTATAACAAAAGTTTGAGTGTTCACTGACAGTTCGTAAGCATGAGCGCAAAAATCCTGAGATAATCTACAAATCAATGCATTAAAATAAACCTATGAATATTCATCTTTCTTGTCAGTAACTGTATTTTTATATTAACATCAGTTTTCATACTAATATAATTTGTTATCTAACAAAATAAGAATTAATTCTATATTTACTTTCACCGTGTACAGTGGACCGACCGTGGACGTGATCTGGTCTTTAAGAAAGGGATGTTTAGATTTGTATTAGTTGTTAATTTCAGTTGTACCTCAAGTAATTTGCATTAAAAGCTAAATTTAAGACATTAAACGTTGAATGTACTGTATCTCAAAAAAGTATCTGCCAGGATGGGTCCAATGTGTTCCGAAATGCTACATAACTTGCCATGTCCCGGGATGGTTGGTATGTGTGACTCTGTGGCATACTGATCCTAAAACATTTGGCATCCTAACATCATATTAATTGCACCGAAATAAATATACATTGCATTATTTAAGTTAAACTATACTGTATACCACAGTGGCCTCATAATGTTTCATACAAAGTGAGGACAAATTCTTGTTTTTAGGTATTGTACACTCGCTAACAACCAGAGATTCAAAGACCAGTGAGGTCTCTGAATCTTTGGGTTCATGTAGAAGCATGTGAGGCGACAGAACTTTTGTTGGCGAGCGTACATTCCTCTATTAGCTCACCTGCATCAATAATACATATATGATAATTATCTTTCAGATGGCGTTGTTGAGGTAGACGGTGACTTAGGCATTGATAAGTTTCATGTACAAATGCACCTGTAAACAAGCTGTATTGTTCTCTAAAATCACTTATATCACAACTAAGATACGTATTTCCTTTATTCAGGTTGTTTTGGCAGTGGTGGGCGTGTGCTCCGCTTTCCCATTCATCCCAGACAATCCAGATGTGGCGGCAGAAAAGGCTCGTTTCTTCCAGGCTTTCAAGGCTGCTGAAGCCGCCGCTTTGCCAAGGTTCCCCTCACCTCACCAATCTCACGAC